GGTGACAACTCGGCGTTCACTCTCGTCTTAGGTGGTGTTGGCCATGCCGCTAGCTTTAAGCCAACTTCGTTCGCACCGGATGTCGTTGTCGTTGGCGCTTGCCGTTGCCGTCATTCTCAACTGTGAATATTTGTCTAAGTTCTTCGTGGAAAACCGGCGTGTGGGAGAGCATGAGACGGTAATTCACTAAAACTCTATCCGCCTAATAGTGACTATTCTTACTTCAATTGCAGCTAATAAAATATATGTGGCAGTACCACTGGATCTCATTCTGTTTTCTTTGGAACTGCACTTAAGTTGCTAAGAAGACTCATTTACTGTTTTTGGATTTCTTGGATTTTTAATTTTTTTGCGATTAAATTCAAAATTAATTTTCACTTGAAGTTAAAGCATTTGTACATTTCACTCGAAAAGTTATGTAAGTGATTGATAAAGGATAAAAACTAATCACAAATATTGGTATGTATATTTTATGCTTTTAATTTTAATATAGCTGGTAACCCTGCTTGGATACACGCAGAGAGAGAGAGAGTTCCAAAACTAATACTGGTTGCGAAGTTTTATTAATTTATGTAATAAGTATATGTTTAAGTGTAATAAAATTTCCTATTAAAAATAAAAAATTGTGCTTAGTTAAAAAAATATGAAATAAAATTAAATTAGCTAAAAATAAATTAAAATTGAATTAAATTTAATAAAAAAATAAAGTAAAATAAACCAAATCAAATAGAAAAAAATAAAACAAATAAAATAAAGGTAAAATAAGACAAATAAAATAAAGGCGAAATAATATAAACTAAAATAAAATAAAATAAAATAAAATAAAACTAAATTAAATTAAATTAAATTAAATTAAATAAAATAAAATTAAATTAAATTAAATTAAATTAAATGAAATTAAATTAAATTAAATACATTAAATGAAAATAAAATAAAACAAAATATAATTGGTAATAAAATTTAAAAAAGCAATATAAAAAAGTAACGTAAAATAAAATAAATTAAATTAAAAGTAATAAAAAAATATAAAATTAAATGAAATCATATAAATAAAAAAAATAATGTAAAAGAAAATAAAATAAAATGAAATGAAATGAAATGAAATAAATTAAAATAAAATAATATGAAATGGAATAAAATGAAATGAAATGAAATTAAATAAATAAAAAATAAAATAAAATCTTATAAAATAAATTAAATTAAATGAAATAAAATAAAATTAAATTAAATTAAATTAAATATAATAAATGAAAATAAAATAAAAATATTAATAGAAATACAATTTAAAAAAGCAATATAAAAAAGTAACGTAAAATAAAATTAATTAAACTAAATGAAATAAAATTAAATTAAATTGATCAGAATAAATTTAAAAAATTATAAAATAATAAGATAAACTAAAATAAATAAAAAGAAATAAAAATAAGCTAAATGAAATAAAAAAAGTAAAATAAAATAAAATAAAAAGAAATGAAATGAAGTAATTAGCTCCACTGTGCACTCCATTATGATTGCACTAGCTGATGCCGTCATATCTGTTATTTTACGATATTTCTTCTAAATAAATGTATGTTTAACGTAAAATTTTTGCAGTTTGCTTGACGTCTTACCACTGCTTTTCATAAACGTGTTTATTTAAATCACATATCAACACACATGCTTTCAAATTTTCACAAAAACTTTATCAAAGTATACATTTGTGCATGTATGCATGTATGTGTATGCCTGCATTTTGGCTTAGTCATAATCATCTGCTGCCATTTTGACATAACTTTTACTTTTCACATTCAATCAAAGTTTTACATTTTACTTCTAGACATTTTGTTTGGGGGCCCATCTGCTCACCTCTTTCTGTCGGAATTTAATTTATTTTCGTATTTTGTATTATTCTGTGTCCTCGGGCTTGATTTGTCTAATAGCCTATTAATATTTCATTTATAAATTGGCATATGAATACAGTTTTGTAACTTTTTGTGGAATTTCGAGCAGTGGTGGGAAGGATTGTTTTGGGTTATTAAAGCATTAATTTTTGAGTATTCATTTTGCTCTCAATTAAATAAAAACCAAAAATTCTCTTTAGTTCTCTCTCTCTCTCTCTCTCTTAGTGTGTGTGTGTGTGTGTCTTGAAAAGAGGAATGTTGTCGGTGCCGTGAACCTTGATTTTCCATGAAATATTTCACACCTGAATGCTCTTCAAACAAAAGCTTAAGTGTTCTCGAAAATGTCTCGAGATTTTCTCAAGCTTTGTAAGTCGCCTTTTGGTTTCTGAGTTTTCGCTTTTTTCTTTTCCCTGCTTAATTTTTCTTTTTACACACTTCACCAAAGTCCACGGGATTACAAATATGCGGAAGATGACCATTTGAATTGACAGCCCTTGAAAATATCTACTACACATAAAAAAGTAATTTTTTCAGTTTTTCTTATGGCGCTTCTTTCGCGACACTGTGGAATCGCTGACCATTTGGGAAATTTAATTGGCTGCATGCTTATTGTGCGTGTGTAGGTGACCATTGTGGTTACGAAAACTGCCAAGTGCACTTGGAAGCGTATAAGACGACCCATGAAAAAAGCTTATTAGGAAAACACAGCTTTTTTGCTGATGCTAAGAAAAGCATATTTGGGCATGTAGAGATGTGCTATTACGTCAATTTCAAACTCTTCTTGTGAGCTACATACAATGTAAAAGTACTCAAGTTAGGGCTCGGTTGTAACTTCGTCCAACCATTACATTACGCTCGGATTATGGAGCGTTGCCATGGCGTATGTAAAGTCGATTGTGGCTGCAGTTGTCTCTTATACTTCGTGAACAGCTGCTATGGATTAGCGCTGGCTTTATCGTGAACAATATTCAGCTCTCAACACACGCAGCATCAACGCCTACAGAGAACTTCCAAAATATAATACAAATCAATTCAGCGCCGAAGAAAACGTTATAATCTCCTTCCTCAAAGATTAATGTAAAGGCTACTTAGGAAATTTGAAAATCTGAAGAAAAGGCTCACTTAAAATAATTTATCGCTGGAATGTTCTCCAAGAAATTCACTCTAGGAGGCCGAAAAGGACCACTAGTATGAATTGAGAGACCCCATCGTGTCTGCTCAGAAGAATAAAATGCAAAAAGTCCGAAGCTAGTATTACCTCAGCTTACAAGCGTTTCATTTCTCATCTCTCAACTCAACTCTTTGATGTCATATTCAATCTTAGATATTTACAGAAAGTGTGAGAATATTGCTCAGCAATATTTCTTGTGGTGACTCAAGCGTACGATAAGGTGTGGGCATGAAGGATCCGATCCTCACATCATCCCATACTAAAAGGCGATTTACAATATAACAAAGACATTTCCTTCAGAGTAGTGTGGATGATGTTCCTCGATGTAGCGTTTTGGGATCAGTATTATATCCTTTTTATTGTGGACATACCAACCAGTGCTATTTTAGGTCGGATCAATGCCCAATCAGGGAATGTCAACCATATTTTGAGCATATTATGCTCCTTATAAAAATCCATCAGCCATTTAGAGGCTTTAGGTTCCTGTATTTGCTAGAAAATCACTAAGATGCACACTTCGAATCGGAAGAAGATTTTGGCCGAAAATCGCTTCAGCAGTATGATGATATGTTTACACCAATCAAATCATCAAATACACTAGAACGAGCAAGAGTGTAGAATTCGCTCCAAAGACACGAAACATATTCAGCTCTCTAAACTAAATAACGCAATGCTCCCTCAAGCAAGTGAAGCTAAATACCTAGGCATACACGCAGATAGCCTATTGACCTGGAAGAGCTTTATTTCTCATAAAATACAGCACATTAAACTTAGAACCACCAACTAAAGAGTGTTCCAAAACTTTTGGATCGTATTTTTTTACTTTTATTTTTATATTTTATTTTTTTGTTGATTTAGAAAGACTTTGAGTAGGGTTATTTATGGATTGACACATCGGAAAGTCGTCTCCACGGTTTTTCATACACTTACGCACTCGATTGTCGAAATTGTACATGACTATTACGCACAAATGTGAGTTCAATAGTTGCCTCCTTTAAAACACGTGTGGTTGTGGGCTTTTTTTTAATAGACCTGTGATTTAATATAACCCCGTAAAAGATATCCCATGACGTTAAGCCAGACGATCCATGGGGCCAATTTTGGTCATCAAAACAGACAAAGCACATGACTGGAAATGTTCCGTGCAGTAATTGAAGTATGTCAAGGACTGTATGGCATGTGGCACCGTCTGGCTGGCTACACATTGTGGTGGCATTTGTTTTTCGATAATCACAAGCAGTAATTTGGGTGATGAACAAATCCACCAAGGTGAAAATATGTTTCATTGCTTACGATGATTTTGCTCGAAAAATCAGCATCCATTTGTTGATGCTTCAACAAACTCTCTTTGCATTGTATTGTATATGACCATTAGGTTAGAGTTTAAGAAATTCATAAGACCGTAAATGCACTAGATTTTTGTCGTATATGAATATTGTATGTCTTTCTTACGATATTTGGTGCACCCTGTGGCGCTGGTTTTGGACGCAGCTGTATAGTTGCATATACCAGTAAATATGCATTCACAATGGATTGTGACAGGCTGTGTGTGGGAGATTTTATTCACATTTTATATGGTTGTTGACCACACTAAAATGTCCTAATGTCACAACCGCGAGCATAAAAGAGGAAAGTCTTCGTATAATTGAGCCATTTTGATTGATTTATTTATTTTATATTAAAAAATGATTCAAAATATTAATTCTTAAAAATTAACTTTTGATTTTAGATTTTGTTTTTTTTTTTTTTAATTTTTATATAGCTTATACTTATGTACAAACAGATGAATGTCGTATTAAATTGTTAGTAAGAATATTTTAAGCCGAAGAGATATGAATGTAATTGCTTGGAACACTTTCTTTCCTTTTTATCAACAATATTATTTACTACATTAAAACTAAAAAATACTAAATAATTTCAAAACATATTTAGCAAAAATAAATATGTACTTTATTCATTAAAATGTAAACAATCAACATATATTAAGGAATTATAAAAAAGTTGCTTCCACCACCATTTCACAACTCTTTCAATGCTGGTGGCACGCACTCCTCTTGCTCACCACCCGAACCACCATCTCCACCACCGCCTGCTATCATGGCAATCAGATCAGCCAGAGTAGCATCACCAATTTGATTATTTACGAAAGGCACTACAAAATTATTCGACAACTCCTCCATTTCGCTGGTATTCTCATTCACCGCCAACAAAATCCATTCCTCAATAATTTCATTCAATTTCTTATTGACAATCTTGATTTTGGACAAATTCTCAATTTCCGAATTCACATCGCCAATGGTCGCACTGACCTTGAACTCCTTCAAACGCAATTTACCGATAATGCTGTATTTAGCCGAGCCAACCACCTTCAGATCTTCAATAGCCAATTTGGCGCCACCATTGCGACCCATCTTCACCCTATTGCCAGTGCTCATGTCCATCTTGTATTGTGTATCGAAATACACCTTATGCCAGTGGAAATTGAAGGTGATCCGACTGAAAACAACATTGACCTTGACAACAAAATCAAAGTCATCCAAACCGTAAAGTATGAAATCATCGACCTCGCCAGCCAGTGCTAAAGCATCTGAGTTGAGTGCGATTTCGCGATGCGTAAGATGTGCCGGAGACAGTGGGCCCAAACCAAGGCCGGGGAATCCACATGGCATTTGCTTGCGTATACCCTCAATGAATTCCGTCACTTGGCTGCTGACGGAGCGTTCGTAAGCTGTGTGGGGTAAAAAGAATGGAATTAGTGATATTTTATTTATTATTCGAGTAAATTTATGATGATTATTTGCGAATTTTATTGAGTGAATAAATGACACTTGAAAAGCAACTATTTATTGTTTTCAATTATTTATTATTTATTATGTTAGTGATGCGAGTTGTATCTTATCTTGGCAATTCAAAACAACAATAACATGTTTTTTAACACCGTTAAGCTACTTGTATAGATTTTATTAGTTTAAAGGGCAAATGCATTATACTCGTTTATTTTTATATATGTGTATGTATGTATATATGTATATCAGTATTTTTGAGCGCTTTATATATGTATGTATGTATGTATATATTTATGTTTATTTTATTATTTATCAGAATTAAATTAAACAAATACATTCCAATATATAATATATTAAAAAAATGAAATAAATACCGTAATTTGTAGTTGTATCTATTTTATGAGAAAAATTTGATTTTTATGAAAATTAAAATAAGCTTCGATCAAAAATTAAAAAAATATATATATATAAACTCATATTAGGTCTGCACCGTTATACTTGAAAACTTTTTGCCATTAATGCCAGGTAATTTCATTATGCTTCTCTCATGAAAACCCTTGTCCCTTGGGCCTATTGGTAAAAAATTGGGATAATCGATTTTCACAGGCTTCTCTGGAAGCCAATTTATCATCGGCAAAATTTTTCACCATAGATAAGAACAGATAGTAATGACTTGGTACGAGGTCCGCACTATAAGGTGGATGAATAAGCAGCACCGAACCAAGTTCTCGGAACTTCCGGTGAGACACTATCAACGTATGAGGTCTGGCGATGTACAGATGTCATATTGACCACAGATTGGCGCTTCCCTCAGACGTCCCACTTGCTGACTAGTATAGGTCCGATCTAAGAGTTTTTCCTAGTGGAAGCAGCTCATAGTAAATGATTCCTTGCGAATATCACCAAACACACAACAAAACCTTACTGGCTGTCAATCCTGGTTGGGAGATTTTTTATGTCTCACTCACTGCCCGTCCACCACGATCGTTTTCGTTTGACGTTTCTGTAAGTAATCCACTTTTCATCATCAGTGATCACCCCCTCCAGTAGTGGCTTGACTTTGGAACTATTCAGCAGCGACTCGCAGTTGGAAATTCAATCCATGAGGTTTTTCTACGTTGCCCTATGGGGCACGATATTTTCGAGGGTCTTCTTTTACATAAACTAAACCAAAATTGTGCGTGATTGACTATTACAGTATCAGCGCCATGAACTCAATACACATCTTTAGCTGTCTGACTTGCGCTTTCGTTTTTATAGAAGAAAATTTGAGGAATTTAGCGTATTTTCTCTTTGCTGTTAAGTTATCGCCAGTGCTCCTGTGTCATTTTTGGTACAAAATATCCCCTTTCCAATCGCACTTATAGAATGCGAGCTAGAGATCACTAAATAATGAATTACTTTTTACTAATATTAGTAACCTCTCAGCACCTTTTTATACATTTTAGCCTAATTGAATATTCAATTCCGGTACTTTTTATCTCTTTGTAAACTTTCGAAACTATTATTTCTTCACTCGAACAAAAACTGTTAATTTTAAAATATTTTATCAAAATCAAGTCAACCAACTTCCGTCTTTCATAAAATATTTTCACTGCGTAACTTCCCACTTAAACTAGTACAACTTTCGGAAATAATAATTTTAGTTTTCTTTTTAATATTTAATAAACTCACCATCTTGTCGCTCCCGAAACTCGTAACTGCTCGCCAGCGCTGCACAGGCTAATAACACTAACAGGAACTTCATTTTAGTGCAACACGCTGACCGTTATGCGTTTGAGTCGAATTCAGCAAGGAAACTAAACGGCCTTCACGTTCAGCGGTTGGATTTTATACTGCATTGCACACACTCACATTACAGAGGAATTCATTTCTTTCCTATCACCAACTTTATAATCTAAATTTTTTACAAGAAGAAAGTTTACCCTGGATATAGCTGAATTTATTTATTAGTTTTTTACTTTTTATTTTTTATTATTTTTTTCATTTTTTGAATACCTGATTTCATGTTATTGCGGTAACAGGTGCAGATTAGCGAAACAGAGACATTAATAGAATCCATTTTTTTTGTTTCACACGTTTTGCTTATAAAATTTTTGATCGATTTGCTGATAATCATTAACATACATTAACGGATAATCACGTGAAAATCATACGCGGCTGTGAATGTTCGAGATAAGGCATTTAGTTACCTTTACGGCTTGGGATCTTAACAGCTGAGTTGTCACAAATATTGTCTACTCATTTCGACACTCTCTTTATTATTTCTTCTATAAAGGCGTTCTGTGCTTTTTTAGCTTTGAAAACTCTTAAACTCGCTCTTTTACAACAAAAATTGAATATCACAATATTTAAAGAAAAATTACCATTTTGCGATAAATGATCGCTTGTTTATTTCAATGTAAAAAGGAAGTTATGCTATTAGTAATGGAAGACAATATCAGCCTAATGGCCGCTACACTTACAGGACCGTAGCTGTTGCATGCCCTTAACAGCTCACGAATTCCATCTCTGTGGCCTTGAATTGACGTTGGCCTGGCGACGTAGATCTTATTTTTCATATGGCCCTAAAGGAAAAAGTCAGAAGTTGTTAAATCACATCCAAAGAACGGCGAGGAATGCACAAACGTGGGTCTTTATTAACACTTTAGGCTACAGCAGCAATATTCTCAGTTGTTCTTGAGCGGCTTATACGTGTTCTATTCATCAGATTACTAACTTGTCCCAATATTTTTCTCACCAATTTCTGTATTGCAGTCCGACAAAGTGCTTTACGACGACCGAAAAATGTTTTAGGTTTACGTACCGTGTCTGACAGGTTTACAGCAATTTTTATAGTGAATTTCAATAAATTTCAATGTAGTATTGAAGCGTGTATCGTTCCATTTTTATTACTATTACTTGTCAGATATTAAAAAATTACAGCTTCAAGAGTGACCTCTACAGAAATAACACTCTATTCTATATAATATCTCTTATTGGAAAACCCTGTATATACTGGAACTAAAATATTATTTTTACTCAATCTACCGAAAGATTAAGAGAGTTTTTCGCATCTTCAACTAATTCCACTACCCTTACTAGATTTCAGCTTTTTATTAAGCTTTAGTTAGCACAAGCACTCTCTGTCTGAATTACTATTACTGTTTTTCTCTCTTTTACGCCAATGAATTTTATGCTTAACAGAGCTTTTGTTGCTTTAAGTATATTGTAAGTATTGAAACCAAAAGGCCTGAAAAGCTTCAAACTCTGTGATCTGATGTATTTATAAGAATCCAAAAGAGTGTGTCCAATTTCCAAAAGCACTTTGCACATTAGAATTTTCACCGGGTAATCTTTAATCCGAGTGCAGAAAGAAGCTAAGAAAAGGAAACTGAAAAAAGCTGAAGGATTTCAAGCTTATATTTTTAGAAAATGAAAAAAAAATGTATATAGTTTTGTCCTCTATATTTTCTACAGATCTTCTTCGCTCTAATGCATCTTCATATCTCTAGATATTAAAATTTTCAAATCCCTTCCTCTCAATTCAATTTAATGATTCAATACCGTGTTTTTTTAGTAAAACATTTTATTTCAATATCAAAAAGCATGGACTTTGTATATCGTTTAGTCCGAAGGTGGAATACATTTCTCCTTTTCCTCGCCATCGCCACCACCACCCGCGCTGCTAATCAGCTCAGCTAAAGTTATGTCGGCAAGAGCTTCATTTACCATTGGCACAGCAATCGACTCGATAGTATCAGCAATCGCATCCTCATTCTCATTAACGGCCAACTCAACAATTTCAGCCAAAGCATCGTTCATCTTCTCATTAATACCGCCTTCACCCAAAATACCCTCAATATCTGATTCAACCTCACCGATCTGTGTACGTATGTTCAGTGTCTTCAACTTTAATTTACCGCTCAAAACACCCAACGAATACTTGAGGACACCCTTGACATCTATATTTTTAACAGCGAATTTAGCTGGTCCATTACCGACCAGATTGATGGTGAAACCGGCTTTCTTGAGCAAAACACGCAAATCGTATTGTGTGTCCACGTTGACATTACGGAAAATGAAGCGGAAATTGACTTTGCTGGTAATCGCATTGATCTTCATCTCATCAATATCAAAATCGTTCAAACCATTCAAACGGAAATTGTCCACCACACCCTGTACTTGCAATGCCTCGGTGTCCAAATTGATTTCCTTATGTGGGATCTTCAATGGTGCCAGTGGTGGAATGCCGAGTGCGGGAAAACCACAAGGCATCTCATCACGTAGATTCTCAATAGCCTCAACGGCGGCACTGGAAAGTGAACGGTCGGCTGGTGATAGAGGAAAAAGCGAATTATTTCAATAGAGTTAAAATTTAGCTTAACCTCAAAATTAAGATCGAGATGCTCAAAACATTTTACGCTGCACTTACCAAACACTTGCGCCTTTTCCTCGGCAGCAGTTAGGCCTACAATGGCCAAAAGAAATATGGCGATTTTCATTTTGAATACAAACTGCACGTATGAATAACAGTTATTTAACTACTATTTTCTCGGCCATAGTAATGGCTTTTTATAGAGTTCACCAAAAATTGTGTACCTAAAGCTAATCGGTCGTAAATATAAAAATCGAAGTAAATCGAATAATAAAATCATAATTCTTTTTATGACTCATTATAAATTCAATAACAACAATTAGCTATAAATGTGAGATTTACCTTATCTATTTATGGATTGGGTATATTGCATATATTTTTACAAAATATGATAAATTTATATGGCAGCACTAGAGGTTTAACTTGCCAATTATACTGCTCAAAAAATGGTTTCGATTATTTTTGTAATTTCAGACATTTCCTCCATTTAAATTCATATTGAAACAAAAGTTTTTGTAATGTTCGAAAGTTGAGGCAAAAGCTGGCAAAAATCAAAAGTGTTTCAAGATTACTTGAGTCGAAAATCTTAAAAAAAAACGCAAATTCCTTACAGCGTTTAGCGGGTGGAGTCGCTCAATAAAGCTTTCATACATTTTCTCCCACCATTTTTATTTGGTGTAAGCCTGATTAAGGAATAAATTTTATGACTAATTAAAGTTCTGATGAATTTATTTAATTCAATTAAAATAAAATTATTTCCCTGCTCCTGTTTTTGAAAAAAAATGAAGGCCTTTATTTAAAAAAAGAAATAATAAAATTATTGCCACTAAAATATAATATTTTTTTTGTATCAAAGTTTCATTAAATTAACTCTTCATATTTAATTAAAAAAAATTGAGTACTGCATATTATAATAAAATATAATGTAATTACAGTGCTATATATTGCAAAATGTTGCAGGTGGTTATTTTTCAACTACGCAAAATTTAACAGGTGCACCCTTATCGCAGGCAATTTTACACTTAACAGTCATTTCTTTCCCGTTATATAATGTATCAGCTATAATATATTAATTGTCGAATGTCAGTTCAGAGCAGCTGCTATTTTATTAAATTTCCAAACCCCAATAGTTTGCGATTTCGAGTTGTATAAACTCAAGGACAACTCAAGGTCATCTAATAAATCAACCGGATGTTATAGGCATCTTACAGCAAAGCGGTTTAAGTGCAAAAAGCCAAAGTTGCCAATGAAAACACCAAATGTTTAAAAATTCGGCTATAAGACGATGCCTTTGAGTTACTCTACCTTTGTTCAAAAGCTTAGAGTATGCTTCACACTTAATCCAAGGAAAAGTTGAATCGAAATTTAAATACGTAAGTTGAATGCAAAAGTATGTTAAAGTATGCATGTTTCAAAACATAAGTAATTCAAAGATGCTTAATACTGATTCTAAAAATATCAGGAAATTTTTAAAAAATCATTCAGTAAGCAAAAACTAGCACATTTTGGCCTTTACTATTTATATTTACCGAAAACAAATCGCTCGTATTATGTACGTGTTAATTTTTTTTTTTTTTTACAAATGGAAAATTTTTGGATTTATGATAATGATTTTATATCGTGTCAGAAATACATGCGGAGGGCTTGACATTCTTTGCCGAGAGGCGACCGCATTAAGAAAAAATCATTTTGTATATTTCTATAATTTTGAATGGCAGTACGCACTGCTAAGCACTCGACTATTACTGTCGCAATAATTAATTGTAAATACATAGGCCCCTTTCAGAGATGAGCAACCATCGCTTTTTTTTTACTCAAAGCCCCATGCTATGAATATGTATGCTTTGAAGTAAGCCGAACCCCTACAACTCTGATCTACGTTTATGATGTCACTGTTAAACTCAAAGTGGGAAAGACCGTGTTTTTTTTGTTTATAACCCACTTTGTTCCAAAAAAAAAAGAAAAGAATATCGCATAAGTTATTTTTGTGTTAAGCCGGTGAGTGTTTTTCCATAGTAAGTGTAGTTTTATAGAAATTTATGTAAAACTCTACAGGAAACTTAAAAAATTATGTACATAAACCTTCCTCAGAAATTACACCATATATTTGTGAAAACTGCTTAGAAAACCGCTAAGTCGTTTTTGAGTTGATCGCAAACCGACAGACAGAGACTTTGTTTTATAATACAAAGTGATAGTGATAATTATGCAGAATTGAAGATATTAAATTTTGTATTTAACAAGGCGCACTCAAAGATCTGTACGGAAAATGAGTTATAAATAAAATAAATTAAATAATTAAATTAATAAGTTTAAAATTAATCAAACCGAATTAAATTCAAACGATAAAATAAAAATAAAATGATGAGGTAGTGTTAAGAAACAACGCAGTTCTTGAGATTCAAACTCCAAAGCAAAATTATAACCAAAGAAATAATTTTGCTACTAATTAGATAGATTCATGTCCACTTAGCAATCTAGTATTTTATATTTATACCTCTTTTTTAATTTTTACTTTTCTGGTGCAATTAGTATTGTTATTTCAAAAAAAAAATCCACGATTATTACCTACATACCGAGAATAGGGATTTTAAATTTCATCGCCTCTATAGCTTCAACGGTTACAAAGCAAAAATTAAATAGTACAATATATAAAGGGTTGACAAGTAAAAACTACGCCACTAATAAAAAATGAAACGATACACATTTCAACCATTCACTGAAATTATTAAACTTTACTATAAAAATTGCATCGACTGATCATCATCTTGACTGATCAGACCCATTTCCACCCCGATGGCTAAGTCAATAAGAAAAACTGTCATATCTGGAGCATACAAGATTTATAATTGGAAAATCTCCCCATTCTCAACATATAACTCTTGGTGCGGTTCCGGACAATGCTTTCTCTTGAATAGGTGACTGCAAAGGGCCACAGAGATCTTATGATTTAATATTTTACGACTGCCTCCTTTGGGGTCAAAAAAGATTATGTGCACACCATCAAGCCAACGTCAATTCAAGGCCTCAAAGATGGAATTCGTGAATCTATTACCTATCGTGAAGCTGGATACCAATATTTGGCACCGCTTACGCGATTATAGCCGAATCAATATTAGCGCACCGTTCATCTTTTCTTTTCGCTGTTTGGCGCTAATTGGAAATACCAAGTGAGGCCAGGTCACTCTCCACCTGATCGTTCCAACGGAGTAGAGGTCTTCCTTTTCCTTTGCTTCCACCACCGGGTACTGCATCGAATAGTTTCAAAGTTGCAGTGCTTTCATCCATTCGGACGACATGACCTAGCCAGCGTAGCCGTTGTCTCTACATTCGCTGAACTACGTTAAAAATATCAAGGGCATATAATACCATACATCAACCTATCCGTTATTAAATGTTAATGCTCTTCTTGATTCTTGTTTAAGTTATTTTGGATTTCCTTGATTTGACGTATTTTCATAAGGGATTGTAAGACTAGGAAACATAAATCAAATCAATATCAGTCAAATGCATTGTTTAACTATTTTTTCTATTTTACTGATACGATCATGGAGTAATTTTGAAATTGTCAGAAAAATTAGCTAAATATAAACACTTTAATCCCTAATAAATCAATTTTATTATGTATAATCCAATGAAGTTTTAAGTCCAACGAGAAGCTACTAATACCATTAGAGGAGGATAAGCCAAACACTTAAGCATAATTTATGAGGACAACTAGCTCTAAGGTCAAATTTGAATATTTTTACTTAGATTTTATAACAATGTCATAAACATTGCTTGGATTAAGATTTTGATTATGTTTTCTTCAAAAATAATATTTTCTTGTTCGCTATATAAACCGTTGTTCAAAAGATTGCTTCATTATCGATTCAATTCGTCTTGAAGTATAGAAATATTCCTTTTGAACCAATTGTAAAGAGAATGCGCGCTGTTTTCTTTATTTTCGTCGGCCTTTTCGTTTTGGCTGCCGCCAACGATGCTGGGCAACCGATCACACGCGATGAGTGGGATGAGTCATTGGAAAAGAGTAAGTGCAATTATTTTTATGATAATTGTTGATTGATTGTTGTCTGCGCTGTGTTGCCAGATCAGCTAATTAATTGACACTCTGGCAGCAATATCATTTTCTCTGCTATCCTATACCACTTTTTTTCACTCTTTCTCTCTCTAATTAGGTGTTGGTCAGGGTCGCGGTTTGATACTCAACTCTCAAGCCAAGAAAGCTCTAAGGAATGTTATGGAGCAAATGCCTTGCGGTTGGCCTGATCTTGGCATTCCACCACTAGCACCCTACACCAATGCGGACCTAAATTTGCAGATGTCTAGATCTGCAGCCGAGTAAGCATTGCATCCAGGCACTGTTGACTTAAAAAGCCAAACTACTTTACTCTTTTCTTTTTTTTTTTTGTTATTTATAGTTCCATTTTACAATTTATTCGCTTCCGTTTTGATGGTTTGGATCAAATGGATATCAAGAAACTTAAAGTTAGTTACACCTTCAATAAAAAGGTTAAATATCACTTCGTCTTCAAGCAATTGAAAGCCACTGCACATATTTTGAACACTGATACGTCCCTGGACTTGATGCGTGCATTGGGTTTATCCGTGCGTTATGAAGGATCCGGTCCATTGGAATTCATTTTGGAAAATCTCTCAATTCAAGGTCAATTCAAATACAAAATGCCATTCCTCTGGGGTTCCATTAAGATTTACAAATTCGAAGCTAAAGTCACATTGGGTGGTGTAACGTCAAATATCGGTGGCATTTTGGGAAATGGCAAATTGAATCGTTATATCAATGAACAGTTGGAGAATTTCATACCAGATTTTATCAATGGCAATCAGAATGAAATTAGTGCACATATTGAGGATGTTCTCGTTCCCCGCGTCAATGCCTACTTGAAGGGACACAAAGTTTGGTGGTTGTTGGGCCAAGTAATTGGCTCGTCCAACAAGTGCTACCCAACCCCAGCGCCATGGTTGGCTATGGAGTAATATGTGACGATTTTTTTTAGAATATGACGAAGAATAAAAAAGAATTTCAAAAAAATTATTGTTTGCACTTTTATTTCGAAGTAGAATATTATAGAAATTGCTGTTGTTCTTTTCGAAAGCCCATTACCTTTGTTGGGCTATTGGCTTTGCGCATGGTTTCCAAGAAAATAGTTTTTATAACTTACTTTGTATCTTTTCTAAAAAAGAAAATTATTTCCTTCGAGAATATTTTTCATGAAAACAAATGTAAAATAGTTCTCATGCGAATATCGTAAAATATTTGTATTTTCCTAATAATATTCAGCCGTCTCGTAAAGTTCCTGGGTAATTACCTAAAATTGTATTAAAATTTATCATATTTGGCTACCCATCTTTTATACAATGTATGTAGTTTAACACCTGCATGCTCGATTAATCCAATGAATAATAATCATTCAATACGAAATCAAAAATTACAAAACGAATTTCCACAATAATCACTAAATTATACCATAATCGCTGCTAATAAAGTGCCATAAATCAAACTATGCCACTTAATCAATCAAATCTGATAACAATAAAGCCGTAATTTTCACCAAAGAACATCGAGTATCATAAGAAGTTCTAGTCTTCCGAATCGGCGTATATAAAAGTTAAAGGTACAGCTGTGCAGAAATCATTCGATTGGTTGATTGCTTACTTAACGACTTGAGTTTTTATAGCAAAAATCCTACTAAAATGAAATATTTTGTGGTATTGGCTTTCTTGGCTGTCGCCTTTGCTGCCACTCTAAAAAAAGGTCCTGAGACAGAGCTATCATCGCCATTCAATGCCGATTCTGAAATTGAAGTGATCAATGGGGATGAAGAAAGAATACAAGAAAGTGAGTCGATAACTTACGAGATATTTTGCTTTAACATTTTGCTGATTGTTCGTACATTTAATATTATTATTATATTTTTTTTTGGTGAACAGTCGCTCCCTCGTTTATTTTGTCATGGCAATTACGTCGTTTTATACGCAAATTCCAAAAGCAAATGCCTTGCGGTTTCCCACAATATGGCATACCACCATTAGCGCCTTTAAAGAAGAGCGAGGCTTCCGTGCATTTTGAAAGTGGCATTTTTGAGTGAGTATAATAGAGGAATTTAGAAATCGAATTACATTTTTTACTTTTCATAAATTTATAAAAAATCGTATCGTTTCTTAGAACTTTAGATTTGTTCACACGTCTGCGCGTTGACGGCTTGGATGACTTCAAAATCAACAAATTCAAATTGAATGTAATTTTTAAGAAAATCACTTTTGATTTCACATTCAATAACATACGCGCCACCGCTCCATTCTACTCCACCGATACCATTTTAGATGCCTTGAATCAGTTGGGTCTCTCCGTGCAATATGAAGGTGATGGTTCATTGGAATTTGGTTTGAAAAAGTTACGTATTGCCGGTACTTTGAAATACAAGATACCATTACTTTGGGGTTCCATTAAGATTCTCTCGCTGAAGACTACCATTTCTTTGGGTGAATGTGAGTCGAACATAACCGGTTTCTTAGGCGATGGCGCACTAAATTCTTTGATGAACAAGAAACTGGAGTCGGCTGTTCTTGGTGGCATAAATAATAATCAGCAATTGATTTCGGAAAGCATTGAGAACAATCTAGTGCCATACGTGAACAGTTTGCTCAAGGGTAATGATTTCTGGACTCTTATCGATTTGATTTTGTCGGGCGATGACGGCGCTAGTGAGGATGATGAAATTGTGACGAATTGTGTAGCGCCAGAAGATCCTTGGGCTTAAGTACTCTTACGCTATTACAATTACTTCGATTTGATGAAATGATATTGTTTTAATAAATTCTTGTGAAATTACAAAAAATTTAAGATTTTTATTTAATCATTTTGGTGTTTCACCTCTTGGGAGCAATTAGAAAGTCTCGTAATTATTTTAGCAAAAACTTAAGTATTTATGCTTGATGGCTAGAGAGTACTACCTACTGTTGGCCAGTGATCAACGCACTTAGGCATTGTGTTACCATTGTGAGACTCCTGACCTCACCTTCTCAAATGTCCTAACCATTTCGTGTGATTTATATAGGCTGAGCTAGCTACAGCGAGACTTGTGTTCGCAGCTGTCAAGGCTGGACAGCGACAGAGGTATTGCTCAATAGACGCTTCCTCTAATTCGTCCCTACTGCTGATGCAAAAATCATTAGCTGGCTGGCCAAGTTTCTGATTCTCTTGCAGTGCAGCTCCACTTATAAATGTCCTGTTGTTATGCTTGTAGTTATGCTAAGGGAGAACCGGTATGGAATGATAAGATATTTTGATTTTTTCACGTGCTTTCCGGTCACGTTGCACGTGATCTTACTCAATAATCTAACTATAAAAAGAAATCGTGCTCTTTAAAGTTGCTATTTAAAGAGTAGAGAGAACTTCGCACTCTTAATTCAAATCTTATCTTAACTCCAAAGTTTTTGTCAAAAGTTTCTTCTCCGCATAAAGCTTTGCACACTCCCCCTTGAGCTTTTTTGATTTATGGCGAAGAGCATTTTTTTCATACTTCCGCTAATCTAATCATAATCCGAATTTTATTGCCTTCCCGTGTGTAATCAATTTATCGCCAAATCGTGTTATTACCTTAAAACTTTCGACTTTAGATCGATCGAGGCACAGGTGTTCTGTGTTTTGCTTCAACTTTTTCGCAATTTTTTAGTTTAACAAAGGTTTATCTCGCCCAGTTCTCAAACAGCTCTCGAGGAAAATGTACAAATTTACTCTCGCTTTCTGTGCGGTTTTGCTTTGGCAATGCACCTGGGGCCAGGTGGATACAATGGATGATTTTTCTGGCGAATCCGAAATCGAAGGTCGGACTAATTTTGACGATGACCTCCGTGAGCTTGTAGAGTTCTTCCGTTTACAAATGCCTTGCGGTTACGAACCGGCAGGCATACCACCGTTAGCGCCACTGAAAGCGAGTTACCGGGAATTCCAGTTCACTACAGACAGAGCAGAGTAAGTTAAGTAAGTTCACCACACTTCGTTCACTAACGTTCCGTATTTTCCTTCATTCACCAGCATAAGTGGCAATGTCACCAATCTCAATGTCGAAGGACTGGACGTGTTCGACGTGCGTGAGCTGCATTTTAATAATGTTCTACACAAAGTACGTTATGATTTCAATTTCCCTGAGATTTTCTTCACCGGCCTTTACAAAACTGACATAATTACTAAATTGTTCGGTCCTGCAGTGCATGTTTTTGGTGACGGCAAGTTGAATTTGACGCTGAAGAATTTGCGACTCTATGGCAGTTTCATATTACGTCCAAAACTCTCGGGCGGTGTGAGAATGATTAAATTCAAAATAAATACAGAGCTTGGTGATGTGGAATCTAAATTAACTGGTTTCATGAATAGTACACTAAAGACGAGACTCATTAATGCTTGGATTGAAGAGTTCATTAGTTTGACATTCAACGACAGTGAAGAGGATGTCAACGCTGCTCTACAACGTTGGGTTGCGTCACCTGTAAATGATGCTTTGGATAAAGTGCCTGTACTTGCTGTGCTCGCCCTGCTATTTGGCATCATTGATGGTTCACTGCCACAGGAGACTTTGTGTTAGAGATATTTTTTTGTGAAATTTTCTGTATAAATAAGATTTATTATGGACTTGTCTTCAATTAAATAAACGCTGGTGTTTCTTATATCTCTTTAAGTTGAGTTTTCTTCTTCTACTTCAGTTACGGTTGAGCAAATTGTTTTTCCAAATATTTATAGAATTTATAGATTTTATTTGCTATAGAAAATAAACTTTGTCTTGAATTTCGAACAGAACGAGATTTCGACTAAGGACGAGACTCATTAACGGAATGATGAGGGAATAGTAGAGCCGAGAGAGCACTTTACCTCTTAGCAAGAGATATTCTGCATTGGATTTCAAAAATGACAATAAATAAGATAGTTGTCTGTTTGATAATAGGGGATATTCAGTCTTTTCCAAACCCATATCCAGCAGAAATCACTTATATCAATATCATACGCCAGCAGATGTACGTTCTTATAGAATATTGTATTTTCTCTATTCAGCTCTGCAGCTCGTATTATTGTCTTCTTCACAAGATAAGGAATCACCTTATTTGAAACCTCGTTTGGTATCGAACTGTTCGGAGAGGTCCTTCCTTATCATGGTGCAACTTTTGGCGTTGCTTAACGTCAGCGGCGAAAGCGAATTCAGACATGCTCAGCGGCGTATAGGCAGCTCGCATTCGTGCTGCTGAAGGCTGCTTTAAAATCCGCGAAAAGGTGGTGGGTCTCGATACTCTTTTCAAATTTTTGTCACATGGTAAATATGGTGGATTTACCGGGTCAAAAGCCATATTGATAAGGTGCAATCAGCTTGTTGACGGTGAACTTTATGAAACTTTCACACGATTTGCTCGCGAGATCCTCATGTGTGATATTTAAGAGACTAGGCCCACGGTAATTGTAAAAATCTAGCACGATATGTTTACTACATAATTTTCTGTATTTTTTCTGCCAATTAATTTCTCGAAAAATTTTAGATAGTTCAAGAGCCCAATAATTTAGGCTGAGGTTAAGTGAGTCCACTGAAGCTCTATAGTTAGTTCTTAGATTAAATATAAAATTCTCTAACCGCTGACTCAATACAGACTGAGTACCAATAGTGAGTGAAAGTGTCGTATCCATAATCCTATAATATCTAAATACCGAGAGGTCTCTTCTACATAGGTAATACTTCGTAGAGTTTATGGATAATTCCAACAAATCCGTTTTAATAAACATCTCCCTAGATGTAGGCAACAATTGTTCAGTGTGTAAATGTCACCAGAGTTAGACGCAATGTTAACAGAAAAACTGCAATGTAATGATAAATTTCAGGTTAAATGAAGAAAAGGCAATCGATTTGATCAATTGATTGAATTGAAACATTTGGAAATGTTGTCGTTTAAAGCAGTTATCAAAATAAATTCTATTTCGTTGTTACCCGAAATGAAAAGCTGTCGTTAAGGTCAAATCGTTAACAGATAATGTTAAACGTTAAAATTGAAGCGTGCTGTTAATATAATACAAATTAGCCACTTTAAAATTAACGTTTACGATGAATTTGTGCGGTTTCCACATTAACAATTTCATTTCGTTTCGTTATCATGGCGCCGAATAGAAACAAAATCAATTATTTGATTTTATTTTCATTTTCACAAACGAAATGGCATTTCACTAGTTGAGAATATTTGTTTAAAAATAATATAATGATTGAAATTTTTCTTTGAATGGGTCAATAATTGAAAAATTATCCTAAAGAATAAATACTTTTCACCATATTATCTATGTATATTAAATTCAGCTAATAATTTCCTATTTCTTTTTTTCATTTCAGGTAAGTTTCTTACAAATGTTACAGACGACTTGTGGTATTGTTTGTCTTATTGATGGTTGATATTTTTTTAAAATCCAACGAAAGGTGATTTAAAAGATTTAACATTTTAAGGGGTGAATACACTCTAAAGGTTGAAAATAGACTAAACTTTTAAAATTTATTCTAGAAATATGAAAAAAGGAATAAAATTTCTGTTTAACCATTTCATTCAACATATATTGAAGTTTAAAAAAATATTCTTTAATTGTTACTTTGTTATAAAATGGCGTTTTTTTGAAAGGCGTCCACGGGAGGACCGATTTCTTCTAGAGGATGAGCCCTAGCACAGAAAAGCAACAAGTTTTATGCTCTTCAAAATATGGTTTTTGGTAGTACGTACGGATTTATTTTTTAACTCATTTTTGTGCAAGCGGCAGACTTTTTTTTAAAGGACTGATTTTAGACTAAAAAATATGCACTAAATTGTTAACAAAAAAAGTTTTTATCGGAAAACGTACTTCCAAAAAAATATATTTGCGAATCTACCATCAAAATTTCAGATAAATCGATGCAATAGGGTCCGAATAATCTGTCCTTCTCAGCGCACGCTCTGAGAGGTTGCAGCAAAATAAAAAGTTCAGCTTTGTGAATTTTTTTTTTTAATTTTAAAGCCAATTGTATATCATTTCTAGGACCCAAAAGTGCTCTGTGGGCAAAAAAGTTTGCATTTCCCAAAATCTTAGATTGGATTTACCGCCTAAATATATTTTACACGCAATATAAGTATTTTATGGTAGCTAATAATTTAGATATTACGACTCAAAAACATATGCCACATACATATATCTGCAGTTAAATAGAGCTATCTAGCTGTATCCAATTGATTCTAAAGAAGACATTTCATTTATTGCTCTCTCTGCAGCCTGCAGAAATTCGTTTTGGCTCATTTCATTTGCAATTTATGAGCCAATAAGTGCAGTAAATAACTACACTGGTATAAGATGAGTATAGTTATACATATATATCATAGAATTTGAGGGTTAAAATGCCGCAAAATAAAAGTGAAATAATATACATATACGATTGTATATGTCCATATAAAAAATATGATTCTTTGTTTTTAAAATACTGAACAACTCGCCAAGTACATATGAAGAAAGGTCAGCGAAAAACAAAAATCCTTGGAAATGATTTTCATGTATTTGAGAAACACACCTCAAAGCGGTGAAAATGTCATGTGGTTTTATGACTACTGAAAAGCCGCATACATATTTTAAATTAGAATTATCGCCAGCGGTGGAGTGAATGAACCGTAAGTTAGCTGATTCCATCATTTAATGAGTGAAAGTATAGGTTGGAGAAACATAAAATAATCGATATTGACATGTTTACGAGTTTTTAAACTGAAAGAAATATCGTTTAGAACAGCAATTGAATTCGCATGGAAGATATGAACTATATTTTTGAACTCAGTGTAGACCGAAAATCTTTTTTTTCGCAACTCTCAATAGCATTTTGCTCCTATTGACTTGTGTCACAATCTCGCATTCGATAAGCAGCTTCTGTTTTGTCGGCGTTAACGTCAATCGCAAAAATGCAGACCAACTGCCGCCAACTCAGTATACGCGTTGACTGACCACATGCTGAGCGCACGGTCCAACACTTTCTGAGTGGTTCTTTATCTTCTTCATTTATTTCGAGGCATACTACATGTGCATGTATGTATGTACTTATTTATAATTCCAGCCTAGTGCTTGAAATGCTTGCAGGCTGCTACCATTAAGCGCAAATGTTGCGGCAACAAAGGTGTGATTGTTGTGTTTCTGTCACAAAATCCTTGCGGCATCCCGCTGGCAACTAGATTATAATTTTCTCTCCTGTCTCTTCATTTACTCTCTATGAAGTCAATTTGGTGGTGGTCCATCCAGTGTTTTGCCTGGCGCTACTGAAGACTATTTTGCCACACATTTTGTTTCACATACAAATCGGATTTAGAATGCTGCTTTAATTATGATTTATTGCGAGAAAAACGCTGAGGGTCTGTGTTTAGTGCAAAAGTCGGACACTAGAGCAAATTACGGGCATATTTAATGGTATTTTTTTTTTGCAAATAATATTAGCAGTAATATGTTAAATTTAATTTCATCATTTTGATTGATCTTTCTAACTCTAAATATGTTATTATATATATGTAAATGTAGACGACAAATTAGGCATAAGGAAATCGATTTTGTTTAATATAGCTAATGAAATGCGTGCAATTTGGGTCGCTATGGACCTTCGTAGCCAGTGCAACTTGTGGAAAACTTCATTCAAAAATTTACGGTGTTGTTTGCGAGAAGTTTCTACGCGAGAAACTTCTATTGCTCTTATGTAATATGTTATGTTGTTGTTTATTAAAAATTGAAGATTAAAAATTTATTGAACATTACTCTATGCTTGCTCTTTTAAAAGAAATTATTCTGTTATCTTGAAGAAATGTCATTGTGATGCCACAGAAACTTGTCTATCAGCCTTCATTATCTAGCCATTTTCCCTTATGAACCTCATTAGATCCATAACAATATCCTTTAATAAGATCCCAAAATTCCGATACCTATTTTTGCTGTAACCGCAAAATACTTCCCTGAATTGATTTTCGGACAGTATTGCCGAAATGACAGTCCGGTATAAAGACCTGACTGGATTATATTTGCCTCTTACGACAGCCATGCCTAACGGCGGGTAAATTCTTCAGCCCCTAACCCGCAGGGGGATAAGTGATGGGTGATCATTTCCTCCTCGTCATCCTCCTTGCAGCTTTTGATGCATTTTCTATAGGGAACTCCTAGTGTCTCTCCGTGTCATGACTTGTCAGATCTCCTATTACTTTCGACATGTCACTTCTTTTTAATGAGTACAGATTTCGTAATTTTGCTTTATCCCATTTCGATTAGGTGGGCCGGAATTTACACCAGATTGTAGTATCATTCCACCTTGCCGCGGCTTGTTTGTATGTAAATTTCATTCAGGAGCTGTTTACAAGTAGTTAAAGAAAGAATCTGCTTGCAGTACCTTGGCTTGCAAGTACTTTACAGTTATATCCTCGATGTGACGAGGGACCCATGTTCGGTCATCTTACGTATAGTTCGGCGAAAGTCTAGCACTAAATTAGATAATAGTGTAAGAGACCATAGTGCTTTCATTCTTGCCTGACTGGCGCTGAAAATTAAGATATACTTATTTTTAAAGCTTGCTCCGATTTCCTTTACAGTCTCCAAGATAGCAGATATCTCCGCCTGGAAAACACTGCAATGGTCAAGTATTTAGCCTGAAAGAGAGTTTCATCGGAA